GAGAAAATGAATGGTAAAAGAAGTGGTTGGAAAGGATGCAGCATATCAAGAACAACCTGGATATCCAGATATGAATAGGTACACAGACATACAATCAAAGCAAATACTGAAATGGTTAATGGTTGGTTTGATTTCTAAATTTTTTTTCTAAAAAAAGTAATTTCGCATTAGGGAAAGATATATTATGCACAAGTTTTTATTATTTCCCTGTATAAATGGAGAAAAATGGAGACTAAATAGACGGAGAAAAATAACCTAGGAGTAAAATACAGCAGCAGATAGACATCAGACTCCAAGGGAAGGAGCAGAGGCAGTAGGAGATATTTTCTAGTTTAGGTGGCAAAACACAACTAATTTCAGGCTGTAACAAACTACACAAATACTTAGGGTAGGAAAATATTTAGATTAGACTGGATAGTTCAGGAAGTTCAACTACTTCAGTATTCTGTTCCCTGCCTTCCTGAAGGAGAGGTCACAATGCAATGCAGTCCCCTTACAGTATCCATAACCATTTTGGCTGGCTGGCTGCTGGGGATGAACAGGAGCACAGAGGAAGGTGCAGTTAGAGCACCCACCTCCCTGTCTTCCACTTCTTCCCAATCAAACACAGAGGCTCTGTAGAAGGCAGTGCCCAGGTTTTGAGAGGTTAAGGGAGGCATGCTGTCCAAGGTAATGTACAGCAAGCTACAAAACAAATACCCTGAAATATGTATCAGTATGGATTTTAATATTGCATGATGGCACAGGTGATAAAAGACTGCATTTTATCTATCCCACAGCACTGTTGTAAACACAGTGCTGGTGATCACTAAAGAAAGGTATTTTTTTCTGTAGCTGTGCAAACTAAAATGCAGCAGATTGACAGCAGCAGTAAACAAGTTTGTTGTCTGCGACATCAGAAGCATCATCCAAAATGTAAGGACCACTACACTGGAAAGAATGCTCATTAAATGGGGAATAAGTTTAGGACCAGTCCAAAGCCTGTTTATATCGGCTTCAATCTCAGTATGAAAGACAAAGAACAAACAGAATAGCAGTTCTCAGATATGAAAACTATAACATCAGCAGAAGGCAAACACAGAAAAGGCATTGCAGAAATCATGTCAGCTCTTAGGAATTTCTACTTTGTGAAGAAAAAAATTAAGTACAAACTCTTTTAATCCAAAGGCTGATAAAGATTGACAAAGTGGTGCTGAATTGTATTTGGTGACAGAAATAAGAATTGTCCTGTGATTGGTTGATTCTGTTTTAAGACACATTTTAATGAAAACTAATCAGCAGTGGCTCATGCTGCAGAGTGCTTGTATGATGCCTGCACAATAATCTGGACTGCTTATTTTGCTGGCAGCCATATTAGATTTGTATCCCTTAAGATGAACTTGCAATCAGTCCCAGTGCTATCTGACTGCATCTATTCCTCTTCTGACCAACATGAAAGACATTCGTTTTTGACCTCTCAATAAAACAAAACTTTGCAAGCACAGGAAGGGGAAGGAGGCTAAACTGGCATTGATTATTGAAGACACATTAATAATTTATTATTTAGCAGCCTTGACATCAATCTGTTGCACACATGGCTCTTTCTGCAAGACTCCCAACATCTTTTAAATGATTCTAAGTAAACATATTGGAAAACAGAATAAATTTAGTTCTTTCATACAATGAGCATTCCTTAACATGCTGCACGAGAAAGCAACTAGCCTTTATAGAAACCCTGAATCCCTTCCAATGTCTTCCCTGGTATACATACAATAGTCATGCTGATATTTTACTTTCAATTTCCTCAAGTAGCAAAATTGTCATGTTCATCACTTAAGGACACTGTAGCATTTCTCATCATGGCAGATCCTCTTCTGTCCTTATCAGAAATTACTTTAAACTTTATGTTTTACTTCCGTAATTAAGTTTTGCATTAGACCGTTTTAATACAGAAAAGACATTTAACAGTTTGCTTTCCAGTTCAAACAGTTCTTTATGAGAAACATTATCTTTACCGCTACAGACTTTATCTTCGACTTGCTTACTAAAACACTAGTCTAAGGCAATTTTTTGCTGAAAAATCTCTGTGTACTATATGGGGAAAAAAATCAGAGCTGTATCGGAAATATTATCCAACACTTCAAAGCTGTTGCAGGACATGACATCATCCAAACTTTACTGAAACACCTTGACAGTCAGATTCTGTAATTATTTTATAGCTGAAATAAAATACACTGTAACAAGTTCCATTCTGCTCATACACTTACCCAAAACACTCATTCAATACTGTTTATGCCTTTTCAGAGAAGGCCACAAAACCAAGAACATTTCCTCTCTGTGAAACACTGTATTTCCTCCTTCTTCACCCACTCCTTCCTAAATATAGACTCGCCTCCAGCTTTTTTTCATTATTATACACCCTACGGACAAAAGCATTAATTCCTCATCTAAGTCAAAGTCAGAACTTCCATTTACTTTTAATGACACATCTAAATGAACTCCAAGGCTAAAGAACTGTCTCAACCTCTAGAGGATGTCCAGAAGTCAAAAAAAAAAAATATAAAAAAGAAAGAAGCAAAAAAAAAAAGCATTGCTTTATTTTGGAGACTAACCTGTCTCAGTTTTTTCAACTGCTAAACAGGTAACTTAAGATTACACAGTGAAACAAAAGAATATATGAGAATATAAAACAAACCACTCATACAAGCATTGTTTTAAGCATTTCTGAATTATTACACTGTGTAGTGTATATCAATATTTGTATTACATTTATGAAATAATGCTATGCAAATTCCTAGTACCACTTTTATACAGCAACTATTAAATTCTAAATTTGAATTAAAGAAAAACAAAAATGTGAGGACTTTTCTGTTGTTGTTGTTGCTTGGTTTTTAAAATTAAAGCAGCAAATTTGTAATGACAAAATGAAGTTAAATTTTCTGCTTACCTCTTAAACCAGATCTGGAGTATTGAATGCATACTATTCTCAGAATAAGCAACTAATGGGGTGAAAAATACATCTTGTATTCTCTGATCTGTTTTATATTTTTCTATTTAATCAAATTTCATATTAGCATGATATTCTTGTAGTTGTACACACTTACTGACATCCTGAATAAAATGATGTACAGCTACTACTTGCAACAGTTACAACTTGCTCTTTAAAATCTCATTCAAAAGCAAAGAATGTAAATGTAATTGACACTTGGATTCATCAGAAACACAGCTAAACTAATCATTAATAGCTATCCTTCACTGAAAAGCTGCACAATCTGATAAATAAAAGAGCAAGAAGTTTAAAGAATATTACAAAAAGTGTTAACACTATTTGCACATTCCTCCTCACTGAGTTCCCCCCATTGTGATCATAGCAGGCTTGTGTTATTTCTGTAAATTCATTCTAATTTCTCTATCAATCCCTTGCAACAGAATTTTTACAAGAACTCTTTACCACATAAATACAGGTGAAGTGTTGTTCCATAGAAAAACATGCAACACTTTTATTCTTACACTGCAACAGTCTGTATGAGATAATACACTACTGAAACTGTGACAAGGTAGGAATTTTACCAGGGAAGTCTGAGAATTATGTTCCACTAATTGAAGAGAATGATGCTAAAGAAAATGATTTATTTTACTTATTGTTGTTATTATGACATTTAACACTCAAATCTCAGCCAGAAAACTGTACCTGTTTGGGAAAGAAGATTCTAATGTAATTTTTAACTCCCCACCAAACTCCAATGGAACACAGACTGGAAAAAGGGGGAAAAGATATAATCTGCTAACAGCATGAATCCCTGCAGCATGAGTACCACATACTTGATTTGGGAGAAAACAACCAAATGCATAAATCACACCTGCTTTAAAAAAACCCCAAGCAAACAACATGACCCAAAAATAAAAAACACCAAAAAATCTCCCAAACTTTACATATTTACTGTTTCAATTTTCAGTGGAAGAATTTTATTTGTCATCTAATGCATACAAAAGTATTGTGAAGGACAATTGGTCACAGAAGAAGTGGATATGGTATTGCAATATAGAAAAATGTTTTTAAGTATTCTGGAATTTTCAGCAGTAACATATACACACTGCAGAGTTTCAGTAAATTCCACCAGACATGACTTCACAGAACATAAGGGTTCATGTTTGGTAAACCACAAAAATGAAGTTAGTGCAGATAAAACCTCTCATATTGAAATGTGAAATTTTGATGTTTCTATTCTCAGAAGACAAAACTTTAATGCTCCACTGACACAAATCTAAAAGGAAGGTTTCAAAGCCTGCTTTAATTCCAGAAGTCTTTCCATAAATTTGAATCAGCATGTTGATCTATACCAATGCACAACCATAACACTACTTCGCAGAACGGTTTTTAAGAATTATTATTAGACTTAGCACGAGTCCCAGAATGGAGCTGTGCTATATGTCCCACAAAGATTATTCAAGAGGTTCATGTGTGAGAATCTCCTACATGTATTCAAGCAACGTCACACACAGAATATTTCCAGCTAGATTAACTGGGGAAATAATATTTCTGTAGTTAAGAAATCTTCATTGACTGTATTCTTGCATGAGGACACATATTATCAATACACATTCTATGAGAAATTCTGGCAGATGCTCTTTAGGAAACAGAATTTTAACATCACTTGGGATAACTGTACTTATTCCATTATCTTTCAAATTTCAAATCTTGTTTAGACAGCATATGACAATTCTAAACATAATAACCTCATTAACTGTCAGTAAGTGTGCAAATAAATACTGAAAAAAATTACAAAGCACTAATACATACCATCCACATTCATTTATGCAAATTCTCAGCTCTTCATAAAGCCTAAAATTAACAGGGCATTGGTGTGCTGGCAGGCAGTTATAATTATCTTCTCATGTTTCTGAAGGTACTTTAGAATCACCAAATCCATGCATGGACACAACAGCAGAGGCAAACCAGCTGACAGAAGTCTGAACACCCACAAACACAATAAAAAATACTGTTTGATACAGCTACTTACATCATGGCCTACGAGTTCTGTCTGTGTGGATTTGTCTGCTTGGGAAGCAAGAGCCTTCTGAAAGCACTGAGCCTTTTCCTGCAAAACAAAATAACATTGCATAGGTGAGTCATGGTTTTCCTCACTGGGCTTCCCAGTGAGGCTTCCAAACATCCAGATACATTCAAAACTCATGCATGGAGAGCTGGTAAGAAATAGATTTATTATGGTGCTATTCACACTGGGAGGTTGATTTCCTTCCTATTATATGCTTTATAAATTTATCTTTCTCTTAAACAGAGGGTGGACTCAGATAGTCCAACTCTGTGGTATGGTGGGGCCCACACGAAGGATGGTACGAGGCAGACAGGGATGAAGCATTGAGCAGCTGCAGGGACTCCAGCAAATACCAGCACTACTCCCACAGCAAAGAAATAATTTACTTTTTTAAAACCATTAAGGAATATGCAAACTTGCAGATCACAAGCCTGAGATGACTTCTGCCTGCCCCAACAGAAACATGTTAGCAAATCCTAAGCATTTCTTGAGTATTGCACTGGTTTCTGCTTTTCCCATCCTTGTCCCTCTGTATCTCAATAATTTTTGGAAGTGTTGCATGGAATCTCTGGACAGGCTTCAGCAAAGACATCTAACTGCTTTGACACAAAAACTCCAGATTCTGATACTTCTTTGAAACTGATAACTAAGCTTGCTGATCCTCATCAAGCCCTTGAGCATACTATTTAATTTCCAAGAGAAGGGATTTGATAGAATAACTGTAAATATGTGGGGTAAGGCAGGAAAAGGCACACAGGAGGGGAAGTAGAATGCAAAGTTCTTTATTGCATTGATCTATGTTTTCCTGCTTACTGATTCAGTTTAATTTTTCAGTTGTGTCTGTAAAAAATGCTTACCTTGAACTCAAACTGCTCAAGATCTACAAACTATAATTGAATGCTACTGACAGGTATGTATTACAGTAAAACAGAATTTGTTTAAATTCAGTTTCAAGTTAACTGACTCTCAAGTTCTCATATCATTCGATTCAAGGCAAGATATGCACATCACTACATTGTGTAAACAGCAGAAAGAAGTAAACACCTGAGTGATCCTTATCTCCACTATTACAACTCTTCAAATAAGGGCTGGGGGAAAATAGAATACAGACTGATTTCTTCACTTGCACAAAACACTTGAGCCCAAATTTAACCAAGTTAATAGTGAGTTCATAGAAAAGGAAATCCTAGTTCTGACAGAAATTGTCTTCTTGAGGTTTGAATTTACTAGTCCACTACCCAGTTCACTTTTACATGTGAAGAAAACAGGCATTATGATGTATCTACTGTCTTATTTTACTACTTTTTACTGCTCATAAGCTCCATGAATTTTTCAAGTTACAATCATAGATGTGTTCAAGAACTGGGTGTTCAAGTAACATAGTGATTGGAGCAACACCATCATTAAACTGTGTATCTGATCAAATTTAACATTTCTGTTTTTTCTGTGTGGATTCACAAATACATATTTTAAAAAAGAAGAGAAAAAAAACCCATAATAAATCAAAATATTCATTAAGGCAACAACTAAACTGGGAAAGCTAGAAAGGTTGGAATAACAAAATTCTTTCCTTTCCCAGAGCTGCTCCTTTAACTATGTATATGTGGTGTGATTCATTTTTAGCATATCCAAGTTCTGACTCCACATTGACATAGTAATCCTTTTTATTTACTTTTAGGGAGCTAACTAATAAAATGGGAAAACCTGAAAATTTCTAGATGCCCAGGTACTGGAAAAGAAAATCTGAAACAAAACCCCTCTTCTTTCTTCTCAAGTATAGCAAAATAGAAAATGAAAGATCTTTACAAATCAGGCAGCATGCTTTAACATTGCTTCAGAACAAAGAAGTGAGTTACCTGGACATCTATTTACACAGCAGCCTCCTAATACCCTCACAGTATTACTCCTAGGGATGGTTACTATTATAAGGCAACATTTTAAAGTAATTTTTAAATTTTTTTCAAGTCCTGAAATTTCCTTGAGATCTTGCCATTTTACAAGACAATATTACCATCTTTCAGAGGCTTCCTAATGAAATTGAATAATTATTGACTTTTTCCATATGTGACCCAGTCCTGCTTTCTGCCCTTTCTCTGTGTATCTGAGAGGAGTCAACTACCCCTTCTCAAAGATATTATGTAATAAAAAGACTGTAAATAGCTATTTCCTTATCATTTTTCTTTACAGGGTAAAAAAAAAAACCAAAAACCCTTTGCCCCTCTAAAGACTAAGAACGGACCAAATAATTTATTTTAAAAATATTTTTAGGATCAGCCAAACTACTTATAGGTGACTTTTTTAAAGTGAGAGCATTAATGTGCATCATTTCTTACCATTCTGCATATTGTTATTGCTTCTTATTAAAATAAACAGCACAAAAGTAAATTTGTAGGTGACACAGATAAGAGCATGAAAAACTTTTATTCCCTGGTTTCATCTAATTAGTGGAAAGGCAGGAAGAGCTGTTGGCTGCATTAACAGCAACACTGCCAGGAACATTCATTGCAACCCTCTCTCTGAAGTACCTGTGTGTGTATCTGTGTGTGTTTTGAGGGGACAGAGGGAAAAACTACATGGAAGGATATTTTCTCAATCATTGCATTTGCTTCAATTATTGAGATTACTGACTGTGATATTTCAACAACCACAGTAAAAAGCATTAGACCATGACCAATAAAGATATTGTTCCTGTCTATTTCTTCACACAGGAAAAAGTTCAGACATAGTTTATATCTCAAACTAGCTCTGGTACAAGAGTGCCATGGTTTGAATACTTACTATTTTATTACTATGTTTGTAACAAGTCACCAAAAGGTGCAGAAATAAGAAGACAACAGACATCAGCTGATAACTGATGCAAGTAAAAATATTACAAATAAAACAGAAAAGTGAAATGTAAGATAAAAAAAGTAAGAAATGTAAAACAAAGAAAAGGACTTAAGTCTTCCCCACTGAAAGGCAGATAGTAGGAAAAAAGTAGCCAGTTAGTTAGATTTAGGGAGTCAGTAAAGGCTGATATTGATACATCTTGAAACATGACATTGGTTTTCCAAAACATTCCTCTTTTGAATGGGAGGGTATCAAAAAAAATTTCACAGTTTTGACTGCAAACATGTCAAAGTTATTTTTTGTGACTGTTTTCTTATTCCATTCCCTACAAGTGACAGTATGGTGACCACTTGTGGTGCTCTGCTTAACTGCAAATTCCAAAGAGAAAATGCTTGACAATTACTTTAAATGGTCACATTAAATCAAGGAGCAAAACTTACTGCTCCAGCTATTTTAAAGGAATCAAAACTCTACTGTCCAGTAGAGCTGTAGCTTTCATCCTCATGAATTATATTTTGTCTAGGAGATAGCATATTGGATGTTTTTTTTTTCTAATTGCTTTTTCATCTTTATTGTTACTTAGTTTAAAATATAAAACATCATAAATTAACTTTTTACCTCTGTCTGCTATAGTCTGTACAGATTACTCTGAGACCTTATGAAAATAAAAGTGATGTTTAGACATTTTGCCACAGCATACATCCAGAACAGCCTCCAACAGCCACAAACACTGCAGTCAGATTTACAATTTACATGTGATTGTTTCCCTTAACTCAGGCATTAACCCCACTGAGAATAACAACTTATGTTCACCATAGAACTGAGGAGAAAAGGCTGTTCTTCAGAAGATTTATAAAAATGCAAATTCTTTTAATTCTGATGTGCTTTGGGATTAAACTTAATCAACAGCAGCAGTTAGGCAGAGAGCAAAGGGATAACAAGTAGAAAAAAACCTGCTTTCCACCATCTATTCTACCTAATTTACAGGCTACAATGAGCTACAGAATTGACTTTATGACAGCTATTTCCATAGAAATTGAGTCCCTATTGGTTTGAGTCTCAGTTTGGGAAGAAAACATATGATATCCAGCATAGCTCCAGCGATCAGCTGCGGTACAGCTGAGTCACATCACACTTGAAAACACTTTGTAAAGCCCAGCAAAAAGCCCAGCTGTCTCTTGAGCACAGCATGAGAACACAGCTACAACTCGGTTCAGCTATCACACATAAATGTACTATGAACTGAGGTGCTACATAGACACAACAAATTTAGATGCATTACTCTGGAACCACAGTGACAAACAGGTGTGACCATCCCCAAGGGGACTGACTATTCCATCGATCAGGAGAAAAACATGAGAAACATGGGAATGCATCCAAGTATGCACAAATGCAGGTTTCACTGAGGGTTATAGTGCTGTCAAATCACTGCAAACAAGAAGCACCAAAATCACATGGAATTTCAGAGAACATTCCATTGCTTTCACATAGGACTCTTAGACAAACCAAAACAGTTTTTCAGTTTTTACATTACAAGATTTTTGTAAAACATAATGCAAATTTCTATGCATATAGCAAATATGGTATCTGCAATGAAAGACAGCACACCTTTTGCTTTGATTTCTATCAGATCATGCTATCCAGGTATGAATCAAGAAGTGCTAAGACAAGCCTGTCTCCAACCAGTTTGCAATACTCCAATAATTAGTTACTGCCAAGTCTGAACAAATTGAATGGAAAAAAAGACAGTTTTAAAAAATGCAATCACTTCATAATAGGTCTTTGAAGATCAACAATATTTAGCAAGGTTCAAAATCTCTCAGAGAGTTCTGCTGTAGACATGCCAGCTAACCTTACAGTACTGCAAAGATTTACTAGATCCTAACCAGTGAGGATTATTACTGTTTTAAATTTTGAAATTCTTATAATCCCAAGTATTGCCTTAAATTTTTCATCCTCAAGTTCTGCAATATAAAAAAACCTTCTCTTTTGCTGAATGCTGTATGACCTTACCAACAAAAGACGACTCAAAACTTTGAGAGCCCTGTCTATCTAATCAGAAAGAGGAAACACACAAAAAGTGAATCTCCTAGTCCACTGAGCTGACAAATATCAGAGACAGGAAAACAGTCTTTAAAATGGTATGTTATGACTCATTTATTTGACTGGACAGTGCTGTACTGTAAAACTTGCCACTGCCACTTCTGTATGCG